ATGCTATGAGAAAATCTATTTAATTTAGAAAGTGTTGTGGCTTGTTCTGAGGGCTTGGTTTGGCTTCCCGTGAAGTTCCTCTCCTGTTCGGATATTTGTTGGAGTAATTTCATGCTTGGGACCTTTAAGTATGCAGGTTGTTCCTTGAGCTTAAAATGGCTAGAGCTTTAATGTTGTATGACTCGATTATATCAATGCTTGGGCTTATTTTAATCTTGTTGAGCTTTGACTTTGGCTTTTGGGTTTTTGTTGAGCTCGGTTTTGGCTTTTAGTTCCTGTTGAGCTCGGTCTTGGGTTTTTGTTGGTATTCAGTTTTTATTTCAGAGGCATTGGGCTCTTACTGATTCTCGATTTGTTCGGAAGTGGCTGAGATTTCAATTTATATTAAAACTTGAGTTCGTATCAATGTGTTGGCTTTGTCTCTAATTGAGGGCTGGCTTTGGTTGTATTTCTAGTTGGAGACTGGCTTTAGCTTTGTTTCTGGTTGGGCTGGCTTGGGTTTTGTTTCCTGTTGGGAGCTTGGCTTTGACTCTGTTTCTTGATTGAGCTCGGTTCGACTCTAGTTGAGGGTTGGATTTGGCTTTGGTGCCCTGCTAGGCTCGGTTTGGCTCTAATGTGGGCTGTGTTAGCTCGTTTTGGCCTTGTTGAGCTTGGTTTAGCTCTAGTGGAGAGCTGTGTTGGTTTTGTTTGGCCTTGTTGGACTTGGTTTAGCTCTAGTGTGGGCTGTATTTGCTTGTTCTAGCTTTGCCAGACATGGTTTAGCTCTAGTTGTTGGTCTTGAATTGCTTGGTTTGGCCTTTGCTGAAATTTGATTGGCTCTAAGGTGAGGGCTGTGTTGGCTCGTTTTACCCTTACTGGGCTCGGTTTGGCTCTAATGTGGGCTGTGTTGGCTCGTTTTACCTTTGCTGGCTTTGGTTCCTACTCCTTACCCGTGAGGTCCATTGCAGGTCTTTGGGTGTGATTTAGTTTTCCTTGCTAGGTCTGAATCGTCTTGAGAATTGTGGATGAATCAAGTTTGCCATCCCAAAATTTAGGATTACTTTAATTACCCTTCCGTGTTCGTCAGGGGAGTGTTGTAGCGGCTATTGGTACTTCT